TCTATTTGCAACCTTTTGAGAAAGTGCCATACAGCCTTCCACTGTGATTGCACCATTTTACACTCCCACCAACAGTGAATAAGGGGTCCAGTTTCTCCACAACCTCGCCAGCATTTGTTGCTTGGCTAGTTCACTTTTTAAAAAATAAAAAATATTCATTGTTGCATAATTTCCTCTCTTTCTCCCCCCATTGTTTCCCCAGTCCACTTTTCTATCCACCTCTTATTCTGGACTGTTGTCATACAAATAATGCCTAATAATATATTACTTTTAAACAGTCTTTCCCTCATCTGTTTCAATGCAGTGTTCATTATTTCCTCCCTCTTTTCTTAGTTTCCCCCGAACTTCTATGTCAGTCCTGTTTTATAATAGTGGTGTTATACAGTATTGTCCTTCTATGATTGAACTATTTCACTCAGAATAATGTCTGTCCCTCCAGGGTCACCTATGTTGTGTGATGTTTTATGAGTTCCTTGTTTCTTAGTGCTGTGTAGTACTGTGTAAATATGCATAGTTTTTGTATCCATTCGTCTGTTGATGGGCACTTTTGTTGCTTCCATCTCTTTGCTATGGTGAAAAATGCAGCAATAAGTATGAGTGTGCATATATCTGTTTGGGTGGAAGCTCTGGCTTCTTTAGGGTATATTCCTAGTAGTGAAATTGCTAGGTCAAATCGTATTTCTATTTCCCGCTTTTTGAGAAAGTGTCAGTCCTTAGAGAGGGACTTTCTGCTGCGATAGGTGGAGGGTTAGCCAACCAGATAGATTGACAGAGTGACTGCTGTTGTGGGCTGAAGAATTTCAGTGCTGATGATAGAGTGCACGGGATAGGGCAGGGTTCCGATCTGTTGTCCATAGAGACGCATGAATTGTACTCAACTGATCAGCATTGAACAACAACAAAGTTGATTGCACCAAGATGAAGCATGATTATGACTTTTTTATGTTCAATGCATTTATTTGTCACTAAGACAAATAAATGAATAGTTAGCAGTTAACACTTTTGAGTAGACAGGTTGGTCAGCTGCACAGGCCGTTTCCTCAACAAGCTTGAAAGCAAACGGGAAAATCAGGTCATTTCGTTTTGCTGTTAGTTACTTAGTGCTGCTATAACCAATATGCCTCACATCGCTTTAAAGAACAGGCATTTGTTTTCTGTCCACTGCTGTCCAGTTGAATCTGTCTCATAGCAGTTCCATAGGCCACAAGGTTTCCAAGGCTGTCAATCTTTTGGGAAGCAGATTGCCTCATTTTTATTTCCTCATAGGGGAGTCCTAGTAGTGTAGTCTGTAGCAAGTTGCATTGTTAACCCAAAGGCTGACCATCTCCAGTGGTTCAAATCCCCTAGCATGTACATAGGAGAAAGATGTACAACTTCAGAATCCTGGTGGAGGAAACCAGTTGGATGGCAGTGAATTAATTTTCTGCCTCAGAGCAGCTGGTTGTTTTGAACTGCCTATTTTTTGTTAGTAAGCAAATGTTTCAGTCACTGCGTGACCAGAGCTCTTTTTCACAGTTTAGAATGCTGAAAGTCACACTTAAAAGCATATCTGTAGAAAGTGGTCCTTGTTTGTTTGTAGGCTAAGTCCAAGCCCTCTGGTGTATTAAGTGAAAAATCATGTTTACATTTTCAGGTGGTGGTTGTTGTTGTTATGTGCTGTCAAGTCACCTGCAACTCATAGTGACCCCATATACAATAGCCCTGAAACCTGCTCTGTCCTGTGACAACTTTACTAACACACGTACCCTCATTACCCCGGTCACTGTATCAATCCATCTCATCGATGGTCTTTCTTTCTCTGTCCCTCCACTCTTCCAAGCATGATGTCCCTCTCCAAGGACTGGTAGCTCCTTACAATATTCCCAGAGTATGTCAGATGCAGCCACAGAATCATTGCCTCCAAGGAGCATCCTAGTTTCATCCTCTCCAGGACAAACCTCTTTGTTCTTCTGGAAGTCCATGGGTATATTCAACTCTCTTCTCCAACACCACAGTTCAAAGGCATCAATTCTTCTTCTATCGTCTCAAGTCATTGTCCAGCTCTCTGACAAATAGCAAGTAATTGCAAAGACCATGGCCTGGGTCAGACACACCTCAGTCCCCAGACTGTCACTGTTGCTCTTCAGTATTCTGAAGAAGTTCCTGACAGCAGATTTTCCCAATGCAATTTGTCTTTTGATTTCTTGGCTCTGATACCAAGAGTGCTGATTGTGGTGCCAAGCAAACTGAAGATGTTAACAATCTCAGTCACTTCACGATCTATCATGCTGCTGCCAGTCGGCCTAGTGGTGAGAATCTGTTTTCTTGATGTTGAACTTCAATCCATATTGAAGACTGCAGTCCTTGACCTTCTACAGCAGTCTCCTCAGGTCCTCCTCAATTTCAGCAAGCAGGGTTGTGTCTCCTGCATTTTCAGGTGTTTAGAAAACTTATTTCTACATTCTATGACCTATAAGCAGCTTTGCTGGCCTAATGTTAAGAAGCTGGGCTGCAGTTCCAAAGTCTTGTGTTGTTGTGTGCTATCAAGTTGGAACCGACCCATAACAGGCCTTCCTGTAGCTATTCAGAGGCAGTAAATTTCATGGGAGGAGATTACTCATCTTTCTCCCATAGAGCAGCTAGTGGGTTTGACCTGTCTGTCTTTGAGATTGCTGCATAGCTTCTTACTGCTAGGCCACCAGTTTCTGCTTCTATAGTAGCCAGTATTCCTTGGGATTGTTGGGCTGGTAGTATGTGTATGCCTTCATATGGTGGTTTCCCCTGTGGGTGACCCTGTTCCTGCTCTGGTCCTTTTAACTTTAAAGTGGTTAGGTTTATGGTCCATGGGCTCTACTGTGACTTTATTAGCTTAATAAAGGAAACTCCATTCTAAACAGGATCCGCTTTGCAGGTAAGGGAGTTTGGTTTTCAAAACCTATTTGGGGAGTGAGGGGTACTCTGTTACACTGTGTTAATTTGATTAGCTATACTTGTGATGTTATTTTATTAGAAAAGACCTTAAGAGAGTATCTCAAAAATAAATACTTAATGTAAGCAATAAAAAATAGTAATAGTTGTCAGTTCAATGTGTTGGAACTCAACTGTTTGCTATTATTTATGTTTTTCTGGTTTTTTAATGTCTTAAATATTGTAAGTGACTATATAATTCTTTTCTCTGACCTTCACTTAGGATTTCAATTTCAGGAACCTTTGTACCAAGATTAGTCAGTTACCTTTCATATTGTCTGGTTTTTGGGTTCTTTTGTTTGTTTTGGGGTTCTTCCCCCCCCCCCCCATGAAAAAGAAATATTTACTGATACTTATTTTCTCATTTGTTCCTCTTGCAGTTGAATCCTTGGCCTGAATACATTAACACACGGCTTGAGATGTATAATAAACTAAAAGCAGAACATGATTCCATTCTGGCAGAAAAAGCAGAGAAAGATAGCAAGCCAATTAAAGTCACTCTCCCTGATGGTAAACAAGTTGATGCAGAATCTTGGAAGACGACCCCATACAATATTGCTTGTGGAATTAGGTATAAGCTTCTCAGATCCCGAATTTCTATAGTGTATAGTGAAGCCCTTTTGTTTTTGTAATCTTGCCATATTGTATCCATATATTTTCTTTTTAATATTACTTTTTTAAAACTTTCATGTGCTTACTATCTTTGGGATTTTTAAACTTCAAAATCTGGAACTCAGTGGTGTAGATTTAAAGTTAATTTCAGCAGACTTTGACTTTACTGTATTATGGGTGCTTTACTGTTAGTCCTGCTTTAATCATCAGTTTCATGAAACCACGTATTATGACCTAAATTTCTTCGTTTTCAAGATAAAATGAAAGTGGATCATCTTGCATAGAAAAAAATTAAGAAACTACTGTATGATAGTTGGGGGAAATCCACTTTTTTTTTAATCCATGAAATTCTAATCTTAGAACTTTTTAAAGTAAAATAAATAAGCTCTCTTATTGGATATAGGGAGTGCTGGTGGCCTAATGGTAAGAAACTGCACTGTAATCTCAGAGGCACATGTTCAAATCCACTAGCTGCTCCGTGGGAGAAAGATAAGGCAGTCTTTGAATTGTGGTATTGGAGAAGAGTGCTGAAGGCCCATAGACTGCCAAAGAGAACAAACAGATAGATCTTGGAGAAGGTGCGGCTAGATTGCTCCCTGGAGGCAAAGTTGTTGAAGCTTCATCTCACATACTTTGGACATGTTGCTTGGAGAGATTATTCCTTGGAGAAGAACATCATGCTTGGAAAGGTGGAGGGTCAGAGAAAGAAAGGAAGAGCTTCAACCAGCTGGATTGGCACAGTAACAGCAGCAGTGGACTCAGGTGTGTCAGAGATTGTGAAGGTAGCACCAGATAGATCAGGGATCAGATCTTTTGTACATAGGCTCCCTGAGAGTTGTCCTCGACTCTACGGCACCAGCAACAATTCACTGGAGAGGAGATTGCTGTTTTCTCCCGCAGAGCAACGGGTGGATTTGAGCCACGTGCCTTCAGGCTTTCAGCACTACTCCTTACCACGAGGCCACCAGGTAGAGAGCAGCACCTAAGGGTTTCTGCCTTAACTTGACAGTTTTGAAAAGCAGTCCGAGCACAGAATATACTTTTGGGTTTTACTCCTTTGTCATGTTTTATAGTTACTTCATCCACACCTAATTTAACAGGGTTTTTTCCCTATGACTTCCCCTTATCGTCTTCTCAGGTACAGCTTGATTTTTATAAAAACGTTAACCCTCCTTTTGTACTTTCTTTTAATTGTTACCGGTTTTATGTTGTTGAACTTAATACTAAGTTTATTGCCATCAAGTCAGTTCTAGCTTTTGGCAATCCTTCAAGACAGAACAGAACTGGCCAAAGTGTTTCAAAGGCTGTGATTTTTATCAAAGCAGACTGCCACACATCTTTGTCCCAGGGAGCATTTCGTGCATTTGAACTGCCGACTTTAATTAGCAGTCCCGTAGTTAACCATGGCAGAGTCTTTAGGGGGCAGTGATAGCCATTTTTGGTGGTCCAGATCCACCTTGATAAAAAGATGTGCAATTTAAAACTTCAGAAAACCCACCGAAGGGTCAGCTATGAGTCGGTTCCATCTTGACGGCAGTGAGGAGGTTTCTTGAAACCTTTAAACATCAGTGTAGCCTTTAGTTTTAGAGATATTTTGAAGGTCAGACTGATTAAATTGTCACACAGTGAGATAATAGCTGTGTTGGTATTAAAATTCAGACATCTGAATCATAGTGCAGAAAGTTTTTCTTCACACACTGTTGGTTTCCAGATTATCCTGCTATTCAAGTGTCCAGTTGAGAAATGTTTTTGAGAGAGATGCAACATTTGACATTAAATTATGGAAGACATTGCTGAGCTGTGATTCTGGAGTTCAGTCAGAGATCTGCACTTAGGAGGAGCATGGCCTGCAGCTGCTACTTGCTTTAAAATGTCTTCTTTCAGCTTAGAAATTCAGTTTTGTTCCACAGCACAGTTACCTATTAAAGTTTTAAATTATTCTTTGAAATCATCCCAAGAAAGCATCCTTATTTATTTGAGACTTTAAGTGTCCTTGATGTGTTATTGAGAATCTGGTACCTCGAAGACTGAGAAGTATAGCTTAGATTGATTATTCTAGGTTGATAATCCCATGAGAGTAATTTCAAAACAATACTTATTGTATTTTTTTTTTTAATACTTATTGTATTGAATAGTCATTACAAGGCTTTTAGAATGGAGTTTCTGATTTGCTGTGGACTTGACCATATATACAAATAAAAAATTCCCAGTAGGTTTTCTTTTTGCTATCATGTTGGGAACATTTATAAACAAAAACCACAATGCTTATTGTTTTAATGTTAGTGTAAAGCTTACTTGTGATACAAGAAAAGCAAACCAGGTCTCAAAATGGTAATAAAAGCTTGTATATTCTCAGAACTTAATGATTCCAAACTAGAGTGTGGGACCCGGGAGGACCTTTTTCCATGTATCTATTTCCATCCCTTCCGAGTTCTCCCTTCCCACAGAAACCCTGTCCTGGGGAGTCTTTTCCCTTTGGTCTATAGGCTGTGTCTTTGCCCTCTGTGTAATAAATGAAAAATTTTATTTACATTTTCAGACAAATTTTTTATTTAAAAAAAATTTCTGTGACCTGTTAACAGGTGTGCTAGCCTAGTGGTAAGAAACTGCACAGCGATCCCAAAGGCCTGTGTTGTTGGTGTTGTGTGCTGCTCCCCTGGGTTTTCAGAGGTGGTAAATGGCACAGGAGGAGATTACCCATCTTTCTCCCATAGAGCATTGGGTGGATTTGAACTGCATGTCTTTGAGATTACAGCACAGCTTCTTAACAGTAGGCCACCAGAACTCCATCTACAACCTATAGTATCAATCCCATAAAATTTACATGCTTCTTATACATTTAATTTTGTTGGCATTAAAAAGAACTTATCTTAAGAGGAAAGGGGAAGAAAACAACACCACATTATTTTTTAAAAATGTGTTAAATAATCTTTCATTTTACTTGCTCTAAATAATTTAGTTGTTGTCAAGCACGACTCATAGTGACCCTATGAACACAAGGCCTAAAGCCTTTCTATAACTATCGACATTATCAAAGTTCATAGTTTCCGCAGGCATGTTGTTTAGGAAGTGGATGCCACTCCTGCTAATCATTTTAGAATTACAAATAATTTGCAGATTAATTCAGAGGATAGATTTGTCTTCCAAAGAAAAGGTATATTATAGATTAAAGCAGAGAGGAGAAGCAGAGATGGTACTCTCACTCAAACCCATTGCTGTTGAGTTGGAACCAGTTCACAGTGGACCCTCCATTTGGGCTTTTGAGGTCGTAAATCTCAGCAGGAGGACATTGCCCCTCTTTCTCCCAAGGAATCTGGTGGATTCAAACGACCATTGAGGCCCGGCCTTTGGGTTAGCAGCATACCTGCCTGTGGACTATACTACCAGAATTTGTTTCCCTTTGGAGCTTGTCTTTGCATTGCTTTAATTGAAGCAATTAAAGATTTATCAAACTTACTGGTTATTAGAATTGCCATGTTTACTGACATAAGAAGCATTAATTGTCAATTATTAGTGTTCTAGATTTTTAGCATCTCAGTTATAATCTTTGACATTTTGAAAAGCTTGTTAATTTGTTTTCTGTTTGGTTGTGGTTTGGGGGGGCCTGTCCCCCTTTTCCCCCCACCCCCCGCAGTTCAGTAAGCTAAATCTAACATGTTGCATGTATATGTCATATACTGCTAAGTCAAAACCAACTCATAGCTGACTCTTCTGTACTGTCAGGTTGGTATCGGTTCTCTAGTTAACTCTCTAGCAAGTTTCCTGAGGCAGTAAATTGCCCCGGAAGAGATTGCTCATCTTTCTCCTGTAGAGCTGTTGGTGCATTCCAACTGTATGCCTTTGGGTTGGCAGCACAGCTCTTTACCACTAAACCACCAGAGATCAATCTAGATAAAATATACCTTCTATTTTTAATATATAGAAGCTATGGTGGCCTAGTGTTGAAAAATTGCAATCCAATCCTGAAGGCACACAGTTCAAATCCACCAACTGCTTGGCAGGAGAAGGATGGGCAATCTCCTTCCATGAGATTAAACTGCCTCTGAAAACATTCTGGAGGGTCAGCTACGGGTCCGTTCCGACTCAATCGTACACAACAACAATATATAGTGTTGATTTATTTTCTTGTTCTCAGTTTCACATTGTATTTTGTACTGAAAGAGATTTTTAGATTCTCCTGTTTTATGTATATAAATATCTGTATATGTGTATCTTTATAGTCAGGGTCTGGCTGACAACACTGTTATTGCTAAAGTAAACCAAGCTGTTTGGGACCTAGACCGTCCTCTAGAAGAAGATTGTACCTTGGAGCTACTCAAGTTTGAAGATGAGGAAGCTCAAGCGGTAAGTCTTTATTTATTGTCCATTGAGTTTCAGGGTGAAGATTCACATTTGTGATCGTCCCCAACCCATTCTCCAACCAGTGTTTTCCTGATGTCATATTGCCATATTTGAATAATTTCACAATACCTTTTTAGTCCTTCATTTAAGAAGCATTTAAAAGAGTGCTTAAGAATTTAAAAGATGAGATGGAATAAAAAAATTTTTTTAACTGCTGTTTCATTCAGGAAGACATTTTGTAAATTGTATTAAAACTTGATTAAGTGGTTAAAATTTTCTTCAGCACTTCAGCAATATACATATGTTCAAATAAATTTGAACCTTCCTTAAAGTACTCCCCATTGGATAAAATAAGCTCCTTCTTTTATTTCCATATTGTGTTGTTGTTTTGTGCTGTTGAGTCACCTGCAACTCATAGCAACTCCAATCTCACTGTCTCTGACACACCAACCCCCATTACCCGAGTCACTGAATCAATCCATCGCATTGAGGGTCTTTCTCTCCTGCACCGCCCCTCCACCCTCCCAAGCATGATGTCCCTCCTTGCAACATGTCCAAAGTATGTCAGATAAAGACTCAGAATCCTTGCCTCAGAGGAGCAGCCTGCTTCACCCTCTCCAGGACAGACCTGTTTGTTCTCTGAGCAGTCTGTGGTATATTCAGTAACTCTTCTGCAATGCCACAGCTCAAAGGCATCAATTCTCCTTCTGTCATCCCTAGTCATTGCAAGTGATTGCAAAGTCAATGGCCTGTATCAGGCACACCTTAGTCTCCAGACTGACATCGTTGCTCTTCAGTAATATGGAGAGGCCTCTGACAGCAGACTTTCCCAATGCAATATATCTTTTAATCTCCTGGTTGCTGGTGCCAAGAGTGTTGACTGTGGATCAAAGAAAACTATGGCTGTTAACAATCTCAGTCTCTTCACCATCTATCAGGATGCTGCCAATTGGGATTCAGATCGCTGGATGAATGTATGAAAATCAACCTGTGTTTTATGGCAA